TATAAAAATAAAAAAGAATTAACCAAAATCTAATCAAGATTTAAGAAAAATGTTTACGCCATGTTTATTATTATACACTAATTACTCTTTTAATGATGTTAAGTACTTTTTAAACTCCGCTTTTTTTTTTCTAATTGGTTGAAAAAATTTGCTGATGAACAGATAAGAATCATTTTCGTAACAATTTTTATTAACTTTTAATTTTATTTAAGAAAAAAAACCATTTAGAAGATTTAATTTAGTAACATTGAGTTTTTATGCGTTTATTTTTTTAAATTTTTGTACAGATAAAATTGATATACGGCAGGTAAAACTAATCATGTAATTGATATTTTTACGCCTCATTCTATTTAGTATTTCTTTCATATAATAAGTCATTAATATTCAAGCAATATCATTTATTTCTGAGAATAATGACGTCAATTATAATTATGTTCAAATTAATCAGGAAGTGGTACACTTCTCTACAATGAACTATTCTATACTTCATTTAATATTTTTTTTTAATAAAGAAAAAATTAATTAATTTGGTTTAACAATGTATTCTTACACAAATTTAATTCTAAAACATTATAAATTTCAAATGGCTTCATTAATTATACTTATCTATTATATTTACTGCGGTAAATTTTTAGTGGAAGAAAAATACCAGAGAAAAAATTATGGACGAAGCTAACAAATCACATTGAGAATTTTTTTTTTTTTTTTTGTAGTAGCTTATTGGAAAAAAGAAGAGCAAAGCACGTTTTTCAGAGACTATTTATAAGTGTCTTGAGATAAAATAGACCGATTTATTTTGAAATCATTTTAATTTTGGTGGAATGGAACAATGAATAAAACATTGAACAGATTTTTTTCAATAAATAGAAAAATTGTGAATTCATAAATAAGTATTTATGCCAAAAAAAAAGTAAAATATTTACAGAATAAATTATAACTACTGCAAAATACACAACTTTTATATAAAATTTTGATCGTAAAATTAATATGGATTCAACAGTTCTCCATAATTTATAAAAAAAAAAATATAGTGACTGTCTGTTAAGAATAGTTTTTTTCTTCCTTTTCTTGTTTAATAATGCACGAAATAAAATTTAAATAATAATAGTAATGAAATATGTCATAGAAAATTGATTTGGTAAAATAAGTAGTGATAATAAAATACGGAATAATCGTAAAATGAGAGAATAATTTAAGAAAGATTCATAATTCGATCTCTTAAAATTGTATATGATTTTACTAATTAGGTAAAGTACCATATTAACTTTTGACTTTATTTTGCTATCATTAGTCTCTGTACAATCAAATCTAATATCTTCCTATTTCGAAAGTTAATTATAAGAGACTTAATGATTAGCAGCAAACATTAATGAATTACTCGTCTAGTAGAAAAAAAGTCGGAATTATTTTGTTTAATATTTAATAATTCGCTTTATTATATTCATTAGAATTTTCGAATTAGGTCTGTCATTTTCTATTCAAATTCGGCAACGATGTCGCATTTGTACTGGGAAACATATAATAAATTAGCTTGAACATAATTATTCTCTTTAACTGTCATCGTAAAAAGCCATTATATGAAATACTTTTATGGTTCCGGGTGAATTCTAGTATTTATTTTGAAAATGGATGTTTTCTCATATAAATTCAATTATTCTGAAGTTGAAAAGTTTAGAGTGGATATTTAAATTTTTGCCGAATTTTATAAGAATAAAATGTAGATTAGATTTAAATTTAAAGGCGTAGTAATTTCTCAGTATTTTGCACTTACGAAAGTTATTAATGAGATAGACTTAATATGATGAATAAAACGTCATGTTTGAAGTACTTAATGATTCAATTTAACTTTTATCTCTGAAGTATCCTTCGTTTTCTTGTTATAAAGTTTAAAATGATAAGAACGGGATTAAAAACGAACTATTCAAATTTTAATTTTTTTTTTTCTTTTACAGGACTTATAATGTTCGTGGGAAGAGCTTTGCTACATCTACATCATCGAAATGCTTTTTGAGCTCATCTTTGGCGAAGCCACTTAAGTCTGACTCTTCTTATTTTTATTCTCAAAACAAGGCTCTTTCCACGAACTTTTGGAGTCCTGCACTTAATGATCTTAAGATGATTCTTTCCTAGTCATTCGGGAATAAGTTGTAGTAATCGAGCATCTTCTGTCGGTGAATAATTTTTGCAAATAGAATTTAATGTTATTTTATTTCGAAATAAAGAAAAAAGTGAAAAATAGACATAAATCGATATTTTTATTTGAAAAATTGTTGCTAAATAGAGAAGAATTTTAATATTTTTACTAAATCAGATAGCTACGAATTATATTTTTTAATATATATATATATTCGTATATTGTAGAAGTTTTTTTTGTTAACAGTAAAAGAATTTTCTCTGGAAAGATGTTATTTCTGTAAATGAATATATTGGAATTTCACGAGAATATGTGAAGATGGTGGTACCGGTTTTTTGTTTTTGATTAATCAACTTGAAGATTTTCAATTGGAAATTTATATTATTGTAGGTGTTAAAGCGAACATTTTCTTAACAAAAATAAATTACATTTGAGTTTTAATTTAAAAAGCATTTCTAAACAAATTATATTAAATAATACAATTTTCAATCGGATTTTAACTTTCAATTATTGTTGAAGTTTTGTAATAATTTTTTAAATTTATTTTTAAGATTACAAAATACGCAAATGCAAAAATAGATTTCATTTGATTTTAAATATATTTTTTCATTTCTTTTATTATTATTTTAAAAATTTATCAGACTTTAACGATACATTTTGTCATTTACTATATCCACATTTATTTTTTCTACATTTAAGTGCATAAACGTGAAAACGAAGATTGAATTCAATATATAACGGACACTCGATACAGTGAACTTTCTAAGAATAGAGTTGAAATCATTGGCTATTTCGTGAGTTCACTATAACGCATAAATTACATAAACAATAGCAAGGACCAACAGAATTGTTCACTACATAAAGATTTAACTGTGTATATTAAGATGAATATTGTGTTTACAGTGCTAAAAATAAAATTTAAATTATTTTTAGCTAAATATTTATATTATTTCGTGGGAATATTCAGGTTAGTTGTTTTGCCAAATTAAGTTTTGTTAGGTAACTGGTAGTCGGGAAAAAAATTAAAATAGAGAAGAAATTTTAATAGAAATATTTGCAATTAGATGATTTAATTTTTTACTATGACGTAATCAGAAAATGTCTCTAGGGAAATGTTTCTCAACCCTTCCTTAACAATCACTTCTAAAGGACACTTCTTTGGATAATTTTGTTTTAATTGACCCAATCAATATTTTTAAATTGTATACTTTATATTTATTTTTATTATTTACTAACGATATTTAAAAAATTAGTTATTGGTTTACTTATTTGTTTTATATACGTCCATTATCTTTCGACTGTTACATTGCTGTCTTATTGTGATTCTCAATATCTATTTACGCTTAAAAGTAATTTTCTTTCCCCATATTTTATTCACTTCAAACGTGCTATAGTGGAACATGATCTTGCAATGGTTAAAACAGTAACGCATCTGGAAAAAATACTTAGGCCTAGAAATTATTTGAGATTAATATCCGTTCGATCGTATTAATTTTACTATTAAAATAAATTGTGATATCGCAATATCCTTTAATTGAGACGTGTAATCAATTCTTAGTAAATAAATTCGATATTTATTTCTACGTAAAAAGGAAGAGGATTATTGATTTAGCTATTTTTTTCCGAAATAATTACACTTGAATGTTATTCTGTAACTACTTTTATTCTTTATAGAATGATATAATTTTGATGAATTAAAATACCAGTTAATCAGTTAAGTTAAAATTTATATTTGAAATTCATTCTTAAGAATTACTAGATAAATTATTTATTTGAAAGAATAAATTCTTTGTAAAATATACAGTTGAATGGAAATAAATAAAGAAGGCGGAAGTCGTTGATTTTTAAGATTTGATATTTTTAATGCAAAAATATAATTTATGCTGAATTGAATTTTTAAAATTTTATTATAATCAGTTCAATAATGATTATAAAGTTATTTGAAAATAAAATAAAAATTAATTAAGCTTACATGCTATCAAACATGAAGGGAATCGATAATCGTGAAATATGTGTGTTACAGATATTTCACGGTTACAATTTTCAGATTATATTACAATAATAATTTCGGATTTATAATTTTTAAAATTATTTCAAAATATCTCAGTAAAAATTTTAAAATAAAATAGTTTTATTAGCCTTTATCATACTTTCATTTTTCATAACTATCAATCAGAAAGATGAAATTTTCAGGGGAAAACGATAAAGATATGCTATCTCTCCTGCATTATTTCGTATCGAATCGCTTAGATTAGTATTCCTAAATATAAAAGTATTAGCACTCTAAGCGCTTAAGAACTAGACAATTGTCTATTGTAACAGAGGATAATTACTTCTATCGAATTTCGTGTACTTATCCGAAAAAGAGAGAGAAATTTAACCGTAGTATCAAATTTCACTGATATAAAAATATTTATATTCGAATGGTTTCTGGTATATTTTTAAAATATATTATATCATTCTTTAATGTTATGAAAAAAAATATTTTATTAAAATTTCCTAATTTCTCGGTAGCTTTTAAAATTAATGCAAAATTCAAAACTAACTGCTTAAAAAAGTACAAAAATGCTGTTATGATTATTATATCAAACGTAATATTATTTATATATTATATACATAATATATATAGAAAACAAATATTATTACATTTTGTTTATATATATATATATATATATAATGTTGTAAAGAACGAAGAGATAAAATGTATTTATGTTCAATTGCTCCGATATTTGTGCGTGATACGTAGTCGTTTTAAACTCATATATTTATATCGGATTTTATTTATTTATTCTTTTTTATATTATATAACGCAATATTATTTATAAATATAAAAAGATACGATTAAACATTTAAAATATATTTTCAGAGTACTCTTTTCGAAAATAATCGAACGAGTCCCGAACCCATGTTTAATTGTCAACCGAAATGTGAAGAAAAGATCACCAAAAAGAAAACTTGTAATCTCGCGAAAGTCAACAATAACAACAAAAGAACGCTTACTCCGAATAAGGTAAACTTTATTTTCTGTGTAATAATAATAATAATAAGCACACAATGAACATAAATACGCAGCATTTTTATTACAGACAAAATTTTTTTTTTTTTTTTTTTGTAAATTTCTGGATCTCTTTCCTTTTTACACCGACAGATGGCGACAGATATTTATTCATTATAACTTTTAGAGCTGCAATGTTTGCTACTGCCATCTGTGAACGGTAAACACTACAATAAATTATATATAATATAATTAAAATTAAATTAGTTTTACTCGAAATTTACATTTAATCGTTGTTACATTAAAATTCAAAGTAATTTCTTGCTACATATGAATAATTTATGTTTAAATTCCTCTTAAATGTGTTATATGTTTTTATATTTTACATTGCGAAATTATAGCATAAAATTTATCATATAGTCTAGTATTTTCAGAAAAATAAATAAATATTTATACGTTTATTTTGTGAAAAAAATTACAACGTAACATATATAAATAGAGATAAAAACTTATATCGAACAGTATTTAAAAAAAAATCCAATAAATTTCCAACTGAACTCGTCATAAACTTAATTAACGTTTAAAATGTAGTTAATGATAGAAATCGGAATTAATTACAGTGTAAAACATTTATTTATTTAAATCTATTTGTATTGTGTATTTACATTTTATTGAATTTTATACCAAATTAATTTAAAACAGTTTAAATTTAATAATGGTTCGTTAAAAACGTTCTTTAATTAGTTGTGTTTAGAAATAATACAGCGATGAAGATTATATTATAAAACACAATTGAAAATTATTACATATTGTTTGTTGAATAATTAATATTTTAATTTTATGGCTTGCTTAATGAAAATGTTTTGAATAATTTTTTTTTTCCTCAAACTCTATTAAAATTCACGCCATTTATTATCTAGATTCTAAAAATATTTTTAATGGAAGTATTTTTTTAACGTAAGGATTGATTTATCAAATTTTATAAAACATTTATCTATCACATTTCAGTGCTCGATCTTATAATATTACTTAATGACCCTTGAATCTTATGTTATTAGATTGTTAATGGTAAACTGTTGAATACGTAATATTAGGCCTACAAGATAATTTATGAGAAATAAACATTAGCGATTTTTTTTTTATTCGTCTAAATAGTTTATAAATTCACACGATAATATATCCACCTTCGGAGCCGTCTGTCATCTATTGATACAGATACCAGTAAGAAATTCGATTCTAAGTATAAATTTCGAACATGGTGGTGTGAAGGGAAGAAATTGGATATTAGAGCAGACTTCCACCACCAGGGGATAGCTAAAGATGTGCAATGTGTCCCTTCTATATTGCTGATGCGCTGCGAGATATAAAAGGTGCTGCACCGAAGATCGCTGTGACGATAACAAAATACTTATCACTTTATCGGAGTGTGCATTAATTGTGAAATTGTTTTATGACAATAGAGAACGCTACGACGGCTATTTGGTTAATATCGCCTTCGAAGTACTTGTGGAGAGGGACTTTAATATTATTTATTATCCGGTGCGTAATAGCGTTGTTTGCAACGTCATTGATCGGCCAGGAGCGGGAGAGAACTCTATCCAACTAGCATAAACTGAAAGATTGTCACGTCAGTAATGGAGTTGCCGCAGGACAGTTCTTCTCTGTGTCATTGATGCAAATGCTGTTTATGACAAGAAGTATTTTTCTCTGTCTGATGCGAAGCAATAACTGTACTATTTGCTAAATCTTTCTCATATTTGTGAAGCTACATAACTATTGGATTTCAGTATCCTTCAAGAAGACGAATATTAATTATGCGAATGGTTTTTGAACGCATTGTTTCATTTGGTGTTGGAAAATTTTGTAGCGATTCTTGTTTTTATGCTGTTTAGTGGATTGGGACACAACGCTTGTTTTCTTTTATTAGTATATTATTTCTTTCGTCGAAAGGATTTTTATCATATTGCCCGAAATGTGAGATTTACTGTTACTACGGATTGTACAAGATGGCAGTTTTGTAATATGTGTATATTCAGGAAATATTGCGATAGTATTTAGTGAAATGCCGTTCAATTACTGCTGTTCGACAATATGATCGTCTCATTTGTTGGTGTAATTTCCTACAACTTTGGTCATCAGAAACTCAATGTGTATTTTAGTTTCTATTGAATGTTAGTCTACGAACTTTACACAGCTTAAGGAATACTATCACACATCAGTACAATTGCGCCCTCCATCCTTCCCTAGATACTCGTGTAATCATTGGATACACGCGGAATGGAACATCGCACACTTACTGTAGGCAATATATTTTATTGAATGATCGTCAGCCAATGGTAGCAACATTGATTTTAACTCGGAACGAAATATCCGTTTTTTGTTATTTTCATTTGCATGTTAGGAATCATATTCGTGTCACGTTTTGATATGACTTTGCTTTGATTGCTACGAAAATTGAATAACTAAACATACATTAGTGAATATTTAATGTAATAATATTTTGAGTATATACTTATTGTCAACAATATCTATTTATTCAAATGTCTGTATTTAATTGGTGGAATATATAGAAAATATTTGAGCAATACACAGTTAGATAATACGACGACATATAAGTTATACGTAGTTTTTAGTATATCGATATGTATAATAAAGAAAAGTATAAAGTTTGCTTTATTATATAGGCCTATACTAAAATGTTTCTATAAATTTTTGTAATAAATCGTTAGATTAATTTATTCTTTGTTTATCTTCGTTTTTAAATTTGTTTTACATTTTATAAAGTTATATTGTAACAAAAATTTACCAAATTTTATTTTATTTTTTAAAAATATTTTGATTTGCGTAATTTCATGAATTTAGACTTATTAAACAAAAACATTGTATCAATAACAATGGGTATTTTAATATAAATTTAAATAATAATAGTAATGAAATATGTCATAGAAAATTGATTTGGTAAAATAAGTAGTGATAATAAAATACGGAATAATCGTAAAATGAGAGAATAATTTAAGAAAGATTCATAATTCGATCTCTTAAAATTGTATATGATTTTACTAATTAGGTAAAGTACCATATTAACTTTTGACTTTATTTTGCTATCATTAGTCTCTGTACAATCAAATCTAATATCTTCCTATTTCGAAAGTTAATTATAAGAGACTTAATGATTAGCAGCAAACATTAATGAATTACTCGTCTAGTAGAAAAAAAGTCGGAATTATTTTGTTTAATATTTAATAATTCGCTTTATTATATTCATTAGAATTTTCGAATTAGGTCTGTCATTTTCTATTCAAATTCGGCAACGATGTCGCATTTGTACTGGGAAACATATAATAAATTAGCTTGAACATAATTATTCTCTTTAACTGTCATCGTAAAAAGCCATTATATGAAATACTTTTATGGTTCCGGGTGAATTCTAGTATTTATTTTGAAAATGGATGTTTTCTCATATAAATTCAATTATTCTGAAGTTGAAAAGTTTAGAGTGGATATTTAAATTTTTGCCGAATTTTATAAGAATAAAATGTAGATTAGATTTAAATTTAAAGGCGTAGTAATTTCTCAGTATTTTGCACTTACGAAAGTTATTAATGAGATAGACTTAATATGATGAATAAAACGTCATGTTTGAAGTACTTAATGATTCAATTTAACTTTTATCTCTGAAGTATCCTTCGTTTTCTTGTTATAAAGTTTAAAATGATAAGAACGGGATTAAAAACGAACTATTCAAATTTTAATTTTTTTTTTTCTTTTACAGGACTTATAATGTTCGTGGGAAGAGCTTTGCTACATCTACATCATCGAAATGCTTTTTGAGCTCATCTTTGGCGAAGCCACTTAAGTCTGACTCTTCTTATTTTTATTCTCAAAACAAGGCTCTTTCCACGAACTTTTGGAGTCCTGCACTTAATGATCTTAAGATGATTCTTTCCTAGTCATTCGGGAATAAGTTGTAGTAATCGAGCATCTTCTGTCGGTGAATAATTTTTGCAAATAGAATTTAATGTTATTTTATTTCGAAATAAAGAAAAAAGTGAAAAATAGACATAAATCGATATTTTTATTTGAAAAATTGTTGCTAAATAGAGAAGAATTTTAATATTTTTACTAAATCAGATAGCTACGAATTATATTTTTTAATATATATATATATTCGTATATTGTAGAAGTTTTTTTTGTTAACAGTAAAAGAATTTTCTCTGGAAAGATGTTATTTTTGTAAATGAATATATTGGAATTTCACGAGAATATGTGAAGATGGTGGTACCGGTTTTTTGNCCGTTTCGTGATTTTTAATTAAAAATAAAACCAGGCAAAATTTCTTTTTATAATTTAGTATTCGTAAAAATATAAATATTCTGTTTTAAATATGATTTATTTTGAGGATTGCTAAATTTTCTCAACTTAATAAACATTAAGTTCCTATACGACAAAGTCTCGTGTTAAGGAATATACAGTACATTTGAATTTTTTTTTAAAGTTATATTTAAATTATACTTTTATTGTATGAAATCGTTTCAAATAGTATCATTAAGTTATTATATGTTTTATATCTTTAAATTTTGTTGCGAAACACGGATTTTTTTTCTAACGAGAAAGGCATTGTCAGTCACGAAACAGCACTAAAAACATCAGCATTAATGGCATTAGTCCAAAAGAAACCGATTTTCCCAAGAAAATTCTCATAGCGCGACATTAGATTCTTTGTCGAGCTTTTGCTTACTACAACAAAAACTTTTTGGTTATGGAAGTAGAATAAAGTAAAATAACATTTTAACACAACTTTTTTTTTCCTTTTATTTTATTTGTACAGTTAAAATTTCGATCAAACAAAATAATACAATGTAAATTTTTAAAATGCACTTAAACTAAGGATTTCGACAAAGATCATACAAAAAATAAATGAGTAATTTATACGAAAAAATTTCAAATTTATAAATAATTTTATAACTGTCATTTTATTATTGTTAAAATTGCCTTAATTACGTTTTATAATGATG